GGGGGGGGGGGGGGGGGGGGGGGGGGGGGTGGGAGACTTTAACCCCGGGCGCCACATCCTCTCACCTAATTTGATTTACTAATTAAAGCGGGGAAGTTCAGAAAACGCCCACGAAAAACAACGAAGAAATCATAAGGTGACTAATGCCAAAATCAAATATTTCTTACAATCAAAATTGATTCTTCTGAGGAACTCAAACTGAGTTTTAGAAAGTTTCATGATCTGTGAAATGTGAATCAAAAAAAAACAACAAAAACAAACAAAACAAAAGCAGCAACAACAACAGTTATACTTAATGCAATACTAACTGTAAAAGGGACATTTCTTCTCTTTAGTAAAAGTTAATTTATCCTGAATTCTTAATTGAAGGTGAAATTACAACCCAGGACCTCCCTGCGTCACACCTGCCAGACATCAACATCTCCACCTACTTGACTCCAGGTCCCCTTCATAGTCCCACTGTTTCTCGGGTTGAATTAGCAGATGCAAGAACAGATGACGAGACAGATGAGAACCGCGTTCTCGTCTCCTTGGAGACGCCGATGAGTTCCTCATCCCCACTTACATTCGAAGGCCTACCACGGCATTTATTTGTCAGCAGCGATATTTCAACCTTCCGTCAGAGTAATAGCGAGGATGACAGCAAAATGTACCATGGTGATTCTAAGTCTTTCATGGATGTGTACCTTTCCGAAGTAATTCAGGCCCATGGAGAAGAGGTCGTTATAAGCACGGAGGAGATGGACCCAGTTGAATGCAGCTCCAAAGAAGAAGAGATTAATGCGTGAAGCTTTGTGTTTAGACTTTCTTTTTGAAATAATCATCTATGATTACAGTAATTTTAAAAGCTGCAAAGCACAGCAGCTAAGGAGAACATATAGGAAGAGATTGATCTTTTTTCTCTGTAGTAAGTTATTGTAAATGAAATAATGTCGGAATTCAGTTTCTTCATTTTAGTCATAGATCTAACTATCAGACAGTGGCGACAATGCTTGAAGTCAAATCCTTACATTCTTAGCAAAGTAATGTTATTATATATCGGTGTTACAAAAATCGTTAAGCAGAAATAAAGCAGTGATGCTTGATACCTAAATGTGGTGAGCAATTTCACGAAAAAAGATACTATTCCCTTTCTTCTTCGCATGTACATCAATTAATGCTTGCAAAAAAAATACGTAACCGTCGCTCGACTCGCGATATCAACTTGTTGAGTTCACTACAGAGAGGGTTTTGCATCGCGTATTTACCCAAAGTGAAGCTGTTTGCTTCAAGTTGTCCACTATGAAGTGAAGATATTGGATTCGAGTTTATTATCTTAGTTTGTGCCCCCCCCCAACAACCCTTTTTCTCTAGCCTAGGTCACACAGACACCACCGATACTAGTAGACTATGTGGAAGATTTTGAGACAGGTCCGACTGTACCGCGCACTGACCATTTTGTAGCTTAAAAATTTAAGGGTCGAGGGCGATAATCACACCCCTGTTATGCATTGCAACAAAGAGGCCGGCCTCATTTTCGAACAAAGAAAAAGAACGGCAATCAAAGCCGACCGGACAGTTGGTCTGGCGTAAGGTTGAGACTGATCTTACCGACTAAGAATCTTCGACCTCGTCATCTGTCTTTCTTTGCCTTGAGTTAGTGTAGAAGTGCTTAGTTTCAAGGGTCATTTGCAGGGTGATATCACCCTTCGGTGAAAAAAATCCGCCGTTTTGTTACTTCTGTTTGGTTCACACCAATCTGAACACTAGAGCCGTAGAATTTGACCGTCGGGACGGTCGACAAAGAATGTTTGCAAGCAATTACCTTTCAAGAGACGAAAGCAGCGTATGATTGTGACAAGGTATGATCTAGTCCACAGCTCAAATTCTTCAGAAGCATAGGCACACTACCCGTGCAGTTTGTCTCTATGTATCCATCAATACTGCGGGTCTACTTTTTAGAGGACCATAGAAAGAGGCCATTTTATGGTTGTGTGCTTAGTTACCTGGGACCCGTTTCTCGAAGTTCCCGAAAAGTTTTTGCACCCAGAACGCAGTAGCAGAATCTCAAACCTTACGATTACAGAGCTGTTTTACTCACATATTCTCAATATGAACAGAGGTTCCCTTCATACAAGGGGTTTCAGGCGTATACACTTCTCCGTTTTTAGAAACAGATGAACTAAAAATGGCTTTACGGGTCCGAAAAGTTTCCGGGGCTTTCGAGAAACGGGCCCCTAGTCTATGAACGCAAGTGAGGCTGGAGGTGACGACCTTGCTTTGATACAGAACTTTCTGATTTTCTCGTTTAAATGCCACTCGTTAGCATCATAACAACTTGATTTACACAACCAAAACAGTGAGGTTTCTATCAAAACAAGGTCCTCTCCAACCTCGCTGCCATTCAAAGGCCAGGTCACTGAGCAAACAACTGTAAATTATCACCCGTTATATGAATTTGCAGGTCACTCGGGGACAAAAAAAACCAAACTGAATAGAGACCCGACGACAAGGGAAACAGAAACAACAATCATCCAGAAATTTCATTAACGTTTATTCATGTTCAGACAAGAATTATATTAAAGATACTAACGATGAAATGTACGTGTCCGGGAAAAGATAATTTCCAGACTTTCTTTCACAGTCGTGACAACAGGCTTCACATTTCACTGCAACATTGACCAAAAAATATTTCGAGATACACGCAGTACTGTCTTAGCTGCAGAATCCGGTGGTTTTCATAACTTTTAGAAACATTTGACGGGTGCTCTGGAGCACAAAACTTTAATTTCTCGGACAAAATATAAATAGCTTTTCCTTTTCTTAAGATTTCTTCCTTGCAATATACAATCACATTTACAAGCGGTGCTTTGAAATATAGCGGTTAGTTTTGCTGAATTAATAGATAAAATTGTCTGGTTCTATTTGCTGGCTAAAATACGAGAAAGTGTTACGGGCCAACTATAGGCATGCGCAGCACATTCATGATGGGGCACACGTAGCCGGGTGACCATTCCTCGCCGCACCCCCACCCCAAGAAGCAAAAACTCCCAGTACTTGCTTTAACTTCGCGACAAGTTGGTACGAACATGTATTTTGGTCCAATCAGATTTGAATTTTTCAACTTTACCGGAAGGTTGAACCTAAACAGATTATGGCCCAGGTTTTTTTTATGGTTCTCCAAAGCATTTCTGGCCATATGATAACTTTTTTAGTCATCAAGTTCTTATAGTGTTGTAAAACGTTTGTTACTTGGTGGCAGGTGCAACTTTGGCTATTNCGGGTGACCATTCCTCGCCGCACCCCTACCCCAAGAAGCAAAAACTCCCAGTACTTGCTTTAACTTCGCGACAACTTGGTACGAACATGTATTTTGGACCAATCAGATTTGAATTTTTCAACTTTACCGGAAGGTTGAACCTAAACAGATTTTGGCCCAGGTTTTTGATGGTTCTCCAAAGCATTTCTGGCCATATGATAACTGTTTTAGTCATCAAGTTCTTATAGTGTTGTAAAACGTTTGTTACTTGGTGGCAGGTGCAACTTTGGCTATTGTTCTTACGCGATAATATCCAGTGAGCCACCAAAGTAACAATGAATGCAATTCAAAACCTGCTGCTGAAGACTACACGGTAAACAATCAGAGAAGCACTGAGATGGGGATAGAGCGAGAATTGGTGGCGGTATCGTCTTTGTTACGGTGTGCTATTGCCACGAGAAGATAACAATGGACCACGCATGACAGGACCGAGATAAGAAGATAGATGGCATTCTGAGATTGGCACCGCTCATCTTTTTATCGAACACTTTCCAGGTTTATCTATGTACATAAACTGGTTCTCTTTCCACTCTCTTGCTAGAATGGACAGTTGTAGAAGATGATCTTTTCTCTTTTCTTTCTACTCCTTCTACGGTATGCCGATTTTAATCCAGCTGAATGACATTTGATGATCCGTGAGGACCAAGAAGTCCATACATTGCAGCATACTGCGAAACACAAATCAAAGCAATTACGAACATGCATATAGTTTTAGGCGGGATTCTGTGGAGTATGTCTTGGTGGCTTTACAATAGCTGTACAAAATTCAGACAGGGAAATCAACGAGGAAGCATCGATGTTCAAGAACACCGAAAGTGAAGACCCCACCAGCAAGTCTATCTGTCTGTCTGTCTGTCTGTCTGTCTGTCTGTCTGTCTGTCTACCCGAGGCTACGGTATCCATCTGAGAAGAACAGTTCACAGTCTGATCTTGATGGGCGAACGAAATTGAAGAGGACTCAACCTTTTACACAACGAAGTTGTTTTACTATCTTAAAAGTTTGTGTTTAAACCTTAGCCTTTCTCATTCGACCTTTTGCTGGATGGTCACAAAGGCTTATTCTTTTAACCTTCTGAAAACCTTTTACGAATTTAAGTATTTTTCTAAAACTTCTGCCGTTTTAAAAACTATGATAAAATAGTACCACCGCTGCTCGATAGCTTTCATTTGAATGGTCACTTTCATCCAGACTCAGAGCCATGTTACACACAAAACTCAAGAGCTTATAGAGGATGAAATGCCTCGTGCCAGAGCCCTCTTGAAAGCTGGAGATATGAAGCTGACCCCTAGCGTTCACTTTATAAGATTAGAACTTTGGAAGACTACCTACCTACCTATTTCTTGTCAAACTAACACACAAAATTAACCAGTTTCCTGAGTAAACAACATTGTAATGTCTCATAAGTTTTGTAAACAAGACACGATTAACACTTCCCAACAACACAAAACAACAACTACAACATAAACAACAACACCAACGTCAAAGACACAAATTAGAGGAACAATCTCTCAATGAAAATACTTACAGGTTCATTAGGAGGGAAAAGAGGACCTGGATATATGCT